GTGTCATGACAGCACCATGGTTCAAGTCACTGTACTGGCCACATCGTTGTCATGACAGCACCATGGTTCAAGTTATATACTAGCCACATCGTTGTCCAGATGTTACTTGAGCAGTCCTGTAGTTGCTGTTAGCACCACAGTAATAAACATGATAAAATCCATGATAAAAACACCCAAGTGAACCCATGGTAAAGACACCCAAATTGAACCCATGATGAAGACACCCAAATGAACCCATGGTAAAGATACCCAAATGAACCCATGATAAAGACACCCAAATGAACCCATGATAAAGACACCCAAATGAACCCATGATAAAGACACCCAAATGAACCCATGATAAAGACACCCAGATGAACCATGATAAAAACACCCCAATGGACGCATGATAAAGACACCCAAATGAAACCACATAGAGCTGATTGTGGTAATATAAATTTTTTGTCTTTTAGCATTGGCTGATTGATGTCCATCCATGTGTTGCATCCATGTGTCCTGTTCCGTATTCCAATGCTGATAACTCACGAACACTCGTATCAGCGTCCTTTCCATGAAAACAGCATTAACAGGTACCTCACAACAAAAAGACAAAGAATATTCCACCACCTGTTTGCTGTGTATAGATCCTATGATTGATTGATTATTGCTACTGGTGCATGCATTTATATTGCAATTATGCACAGAACGTATGCCCACAACCTTCGTGGTTGAGCTTCAGGTACCTAATTCATGTGTAATTCAGTGATGCCCATTTACTTTGTGATGTGCATGCAAATGGATATTACCTTCAAATCATTCCGCAAATATCAGTGTTTACATTTTGTTTTAATTCCATTGCATATCGTAATCATGCCTCAGGTACAAGGCACATTTTTGTGTGAAACGGGTTATGAATAGTACAAGTTATTAGGATAAATGATGAAACCTTCAAGTTTAATTTGCAATTTTACTTCACAAGAGGGCACTTATCAATCATGCACCACTGCTACAGGTGAAAATGGCTCCCTTGCATCATTGCATCATCCGCCGCTATGTAAATGCGGTATGCCTGGATCTTAGCTCAGCAATAGTAAACATGTACATGTACCAGTTCATGTGAAGAGAAATCACTATACTGTAGCATGAAGCCAGGTTAATGTACATGTACATGTGTACCTAGTGTACATGTAGCTAGTGAACCTGTTGTTAACTTGAAAAACATTCAACCTGTGTGAAGCTAAGGAGGAATGATGGAACTCACCTGTACATGAAAATCTATCATATGATGCAATACGTACATCATGTCGGTGAGTCAACCATAGAAGAGTATGTCCATGAAAACATGTTCACCCTAACTACCCAAAACCTGCCATACTCCAACAACAGGTTTTGTGAGGTTTGGTACTGTACCTGAGGAACTTGTTGGATTTTGTGAGAATTGGGATGAAAGGCCCAGGGAG